AACAGCTTGGAAGCAATGACACAAAGGAGACCCATTAGTCTGTCACTCTAAAGTGAGGCATTGTGTGTTCCAGGTTCTGAGGCCGTACACCTTCAACTCCAACCTGAAGGTGTGGGACTTCTACATGGAGGAGACTCTGTCAGAGGGGCCGTCCTACGACTGGGAGCTGAGGGGCCGGCAGGAGCGCGCGGCGGAGGAGGCGCCCGAGAAAGCCGACAGCAGCGGCCCCAAGTCGCAGCGCCACATCGTGTGGCCGTGCTACGACAGCCTGAGCAAGGCGGTGCCCGACGCCATCACCAAGCTGCTCCAGGACCTGCAGAGTCTGGAGGCGGAGCTTGGCCAGACGTCCGAGAAGTGGAAGGACACGTGGGATAAAATGAAGGCCGCACAGAGAACTGAGGCCAAACTGGAAAGCAAGGTGAGACCAACGGTTTCATTTTCACGGGAAATACAGTCGACATTCTGCAGTGTTGTATTCACGAGAGCAACTCTACAAACAATGCTGAGGTCTTTGACCTCCACAAATACATTCTCAGCCTGTCGGAAACACTGCACTCTATTGTAGGACTTTCACAGACAAATTCTCATTCATTATTGTGTAAATATTGCTCACATATACGTCCACATGCTGTATGTTTCTTAAGCATTTTAGTATTTACACTATTTGAGTTATTGACAATAAGAAAAATGTAATTTCCCGCAAATTGTCTCTAAAGCACTTCAAATGCTGCACAGATGACTTCAAAAACATGGATCCAACTTTTACAATAAATTTGATCTCACGAAAAAACTATTTATTTCTAGACCAAATTAAAAACACATTAATCAAATCATGTCACGAATCTTGTGGTGAAAAAGCAGAAGGCAGAAATTAGAGGATCCTACTTTGGTGTTTGTATGTGTTAGACCTGTTTTGTCCTTTTCCGGAGTTGCCCAGGGTGAGAGGCGCCGGGCGGGAGTGGGGATACTCACGAGCCCCCGGCTGAGCGCCGCTGTGTTGGAGTTCCCCGGAGAACGAGAGGGTCGCCTCCAAGCGCCTACAGGTTGCGGGGAGCAAGGCTCTGACTGTGGTTTGTGCTTATGCACCAAACAGCAGTTCGGAGTATCCGGCCTTCTTGGAGTCGGTGGGAGGGGTCCTGGAAAGGGCGCCGCCTGCTGACTCCATAGTTCTCCTGGGGGACTTCAACGCTCACGTGGGCAATGACGGAGAAACCTGATTGGGAGGAACGGCTTGCCCGATCTGAACCCGAATGGTGTTTCGTTATTGGACTTCTGTGCTTGCCACGGTTTAGCCATAACGAACACTATGTTCGAACATAAGGTGGCTCATAAGTGTACCTGGTACCAGAACACCTTAGGCCGGAGATCAATGATCGACTTTGTAATCGTATCATTTGATTTGCGGCCGTATCCGTGGCCATATCCCTGGCTCCTTGGTGGCAAGGCGCCGGGGGTGGATGAGATCCGCCCTGAGATGCTGAAGGCGCTGGACATAGTTGGGCTGTCCTGGCTGACACGCCTCTTCAGTGTCGCATGGGGGTCTGGATCAGTGCCCATGGAATGGCAGACCGGGGTGGTGGTTCCCATCTTCAAAAAGGGGGACCGGAGAGTGTGCTCAAATTACCGGGGTATCACACTACTCAGCCTCCCGGGGAAGGCTTATGCCAGGGTGCTGGAAAGGAGGCTCCGACCGTTTGTCGAACCTCAGATTCAAGAGGAGCAATGCGGATTCCGTCCCGGCCGTGGAACAGTGGACCAGCTCTTTACCCTCGCAAGACTACTGGAGGGGTTCTGGGAGTTTGCCCAACCAGTCTACATATGCTTTGTGGACTTGGAGAAGGCTTTCGACCGGGTCCCTCGGGGGTTCTTGTGGGGGGTGCTGCGGGAGTATGGGGTGCCGGACCCGTTACAACGGACGATCCGGTCTCTGTACGACTGCAGTAGGAGCTGTGTCCGCATTCTCGGCAATAAGTCAGACACGTTCCCGGTGGGTGTTGGCCTCCGCCAGGGCTGCCCTTTGTCTCCGGTCCTGTTCGTGAATTTCACGGACAGGATATCTAGGCGCAGCCTGGGGGCGGAGAACATCAGTTTCGGGGGTCTCGGGATCGCCTCTCTGCTGTTTGCAGATGATGTGGTCCTGTTAGCCTCCTCGGATCGTGGCCTCCAGCATTCACTGGGGCGGTTTGCAGCCGAGTGTGAAGCGGCGGGGATGAGCGTTAGCACCTCCAAATCTGAGGCCATGGTTCTCTGCGGAAACCGGTGGATTGCTCCCTCCAGGTGGGGACGGAGTGCCTACCTCAAGCGAAGGAGTTCAAGTATCTCGGGGTCTTGTTCACGAGTGAGGGTAAGATGGAGCGGGAGATCGACAGACGGATCGGTGTAGCTGCAGCAGTAAAGCAGGCGCTGCACCGGACCGTCTTGGTGAAGAGGGAGCTGAGCCGGAAGGCAAAGCTCTCAATTTACCACTCGGTCTACGTTCCTACCCTCACCTATGGTCACG